TTTTAAACATTACTTACCATCATTCTTGGTTTAAACTTTCAACAATTTATTTAATAATGAGTAAAAGCCCAAAATAGCCCTCTGACAATTAGTAAATGTTAATTCCAGGCTTTCAAAATGATCCAATATAGTTCTCCAATTATTAGAAAATATCTCAATTGGATCCTCAAGTCAAAAGTAATAGTTAAAGTTAACCTCAACAGTCAAAAGTGATGGCACTTTGGGTGTTAGGATGCATATGAAATTATATTTTTTTTATATATTTCATCATTTATCATATTAAAATAAATATAAGACCAATATTGAATGTGTGCGCACAAGGATTGTCAAATAAAGGGTTTTTAGTAAATTAGCAAACATAATTTTATAAATACATGCGCACTTCAACTTTTCCAACTACTAATTTGGTATTGTGCTTGCTAATAGGTCCATACATCCTAAGGAAAGAAGACAAAGTACGAAGCTTGGAGGATACAATACACAATACAATTTTTTGTGCTAGCTTGCATTTACACATTATAAAGGACATCAGTGGGGGTTTTTTTTCTTTCATAACATGATCTTTTTAACATGATATTTTTATATTTTGTGGTGACTGATAGTATTTTTGTAAAAGTGTTTTGGAACTTTGTAATCAATTATAACACTTTCATGACAAAGGGTATGGAATTCGGTATGATTTACCATTTTATTAAGTTTTGTAATCAATGATAACACTTTCATAACAAACGTTATGGAATTCGATATGATCTATCATTTATTAAGTATTCATCCTTGTTATTTAGTTGGTTAACTTCCATTATTATTTTATATTTATTTTAATATGATAAATAATAAAACATATAAAAAAATAATAATATAATCTCACATACACCCTATCACCTAAACCCTCACATTTAATAGTTGAAGTTAACTTTAACGGTTACCTTTGACATTGAGACCAACTTAAAATATTTTTAATAGTTGAAGGACTATATTGGGTTATTATAAAAGTTTAGAATTAAATTGGGCATTTGTTAATGATCGGGAGACTATTTTTTTACTTTTGTTCATTTAATAATTTTACCGCTTTTATTCTAAAAATGACACATAGGAGCTCTATGTTAAAACCAAAAGGTGCTATTATCACTGAAGCAACAATCTCAAGCTTTTTTTTTTAACAATTTCTTAGTATAAAATTAGCAACAATCTCAAGCTTGCATTAGCCTTTCACTCGGGTAGAATCCCTTCAATTGTGACTTGTGCATGCTAAATAAATCTTATTTAACCATTATCACTGAAGTAATAATCTAAATGATTCTTGTTTTACTGGTCCATGTTTTTGTACTTTTGTCTATTAACAGCATTAGTTATATGGGATTGACATTAATACCCAACAAGTGAACCTTACTTGAAGCTCGCTCGGATTTTAAGCAAAATCAACAATAAGTCAAATTATTTATCCAAATACAATTATGAGTGGATTTTGTTCATAATTTCTTGTGGAAATCAGATTCAAACTAGTACGAAATATTAATTGATGACATTATTAGCCTTTTAGCCGCCCTATGCGAACCATTTCAATCTGCTTTATGAATCCAACTTTTGAATTATTCTTTTTAAATGTTCTATTTGATGTTATAACATTGTCAAGCAAAGTTTTTTTCTTACAGATATTCCTTCTTTATGTTTCAAGCATATTTTCCACTATTGAAACCTTAATTGGTGTTACTCCCACTGTCACTATTTTTAATATTAAATTTGTAACTCAACCTTCTTGCTTTTACTACACATCCACTTAATCTTCTTATTTTTTATGATACACAACTTAGATATTAGATTTTTCTTTGTTGCCAAACACTTATTTCCATATAGCATAATTGGTCTTATAATGGGTTAACATACTTTATCTTTAACACTTAAATGATCTTCTTTATGTCACTGCATATTACGATGTAAATGTTTAAAGGACATGTATTAATTTGTGAAGCCCAACATGAAAGGAATTAACTCAGGCTATGCTAACCCTCTTTCCATTTTTTCGATCTCTGCCCTATGCATTGTCGTCCTCTAGCAGAATTAACCAAAATGTTATCCTCGCCTTCCTGATATTATAATGTCCAAGATCTTGGATTAATCAACTCAATGAAAAATGTTCAGTACATTTAACTAACAAAAACTTGTAAGACCCATATATGACAATAACGCTTGCTCTTGCCCATATGCTTGCTGAATAACAGAGAGATTGCTTAGCAAGGCGTGTAATATCAAAATAATATGTGTTATTTGCACTACTTATAGGCAATTGTTTATTGATTTATTGTGTTATTTCCCATAGCTTGCCCTTGTTTACATGCTATTTTGATTTCTTTGATTTATTATTTAAAATTAAATTTAACATTTATTATTTGATTTATTTAATTTCCATTTTTATTAGTGATCTAAATAAAAAGAGAATGAATCTTTATATAGGATTAACACTCTTGCGAAGGAGCATGAAGATGATGAGGATGACAAAGAACATTATAGTTTAGGAGACAACGATGATAATGATTGAGAAGAGGCAATTCATCTTATGATGATTCTTAAGATAATTAGTTATATTTTTTTTAAATACGTCACTTTAAAAAAAATTAGTGTTTAGAGTTATGAGAGGTTGAGCATTTAAGCCTAAGTATAAATGTTTAACGTTATCAGAATGATAGTTCTATTCATAAATTCAGTTTTTAGTATTACTATGATAGTTCTCATAATTTTTTAATGTTTTACACTATCTAAAATAAAGCGCACTATGCCACGCACTATTTGCTATGTTTCCATGTGACATTTGTGCCATAGTGCACTATTTGCAATAGACATTATAAGACCTATATCAAAAATTGTCAAAATAAACCTTTTATAGTTTTTCTTTGAACAGAATCCTAAATTTTCTTTTATTTCAGTAGTGTTGCAGCTTCCACAAGTTACAAAAAAGTTTCTCATCATAATTAGCCTTATCCCATCTATTTAAGGCTAACTTTAAGGGGTTGTTTGGTATCGGATTTACGCCAAATTTACGGTAAATCCTAGCAAATAGTTCGGAGTGCCCCGTAAATCCCAATCCCGACGTAAATCCCGGATTTACGCCATAAATACGAGATTTACTAAATCCCACCATTCGGTGGATTTATGGATTTACCGACTACGGAGATTGCGAGCGAGCTAGCCCTAGTCTTGAAAGTCTTGAAGGAAGGAGGCAGCAAAGATGGTTACCTATGCAGTATGCAGCGTGCAAGCTCCCATCATGACTTCTGATCCGAAGGCTTTGAAGGATGCAAAGCAGCGAGCGAGAGAGGTCTCATAATGCAAAGCACGCACAACATTCGAAACTGAAGCAACCAGGAAGAAATTGCAACAAGGAAAAGCGACCAAGCAAGAGAATAAGATGTAAAGCAAACCCTAAATGTCCTCCCAAATGAAAAATTAGCCTACGTAAGATTTAATTGAATAATTAGTAATATAATTATCATTAAATTAATTAAATTAATACTAGTAATTTATAGATTATTATAATTATTGGTAGTATAATTGCAATTAAATTTATTTAATACTTAAATAATTAATTAAATCATTAATATGAATTTTAGTTAAATAATTGGTAATTTCAATAATTAATTAATTAATTAGAATTCAAGAATATAATTAGATAATTAGTAATGCAATATATAATTTGCTAATTAACACCTATGTAATCAATTTGATTGTTAGTAACAATTAAGCTAACTTTTAATTATATTATTTATCATTATAACTTATTAAAGATAATTAAATTTAAAGTTAATAAGTAACTCATAGTTAACACGAAAATTAAATTCAAAGCACATTAAATTTAATTTTTAAATGAATGAACCGCCTTAAATCCTTGATTATGTTGCCAGACAGTTTATCAGGATTTAACATATCATACCAAACAATTTTTGAGATTTAACACCCTCAGGATTTACTAAATCCGGATTTACAATATTTACTAAATCCTACTAAATTAAATCCAATCCAATACCAAACAGCCTCTAAGAATCCTCATTTTTATTCATGCTGGTTGAGTATCATCTTTAATGCTAAATATACTTTTCATAAATCATTTTAAATAACTTCTATTGATGTAACCTTAGGTTTATTGATAGGAAATACTTGATTTCAAGTATTCCCTAATCGCTTTAGCAACAAATCACGAATGATGTAACCTTAGGTTTACCCCTTCTCTTCTTAATCATCTTATATTAATTTTATATACTCATCAGAGGGAAGTAATTTATACCCTTCATTGTACATTACAAACCACCAATTTATATCTTTCATTACCTTGTCTTCAAGAGTAATGCTACACCCCCAAAAAAACAAGCTCAACACAAAGATTATTCCGATACACTTTTATAGGTGCAAAAATCAAGTCTGAAGAAGAAATTCACTTCTGCTCAAGTGACATAAGTTTTAATGTAGTTTTTTTTTTCCCGGAAATAATGCATTTTTCTATCTTCAATAGATGGCACTCAAATTACTCCCCTAATATAATGCTTCATCAAAAATTTATTTATTCATTACTTAAAAACGTACACAAGCAACCAATGAAAAAAAAAAGGAAGCCTGTCAAAATAGAAATTTACACTTCAGCTTAAACCATAATTTCATTTGCTTAGATATCAAAGCAGCGCCTCCAAACCAAAAAATAAAGTCAATGAACCAACCCATTGAAACACCCACTTCTAGCACCTTTCCAATGTCCACTTCCGACCGAACTCAGATATCATTCAGATCATAATCTAAACTTACACGTTCACGTGCGCCTTCAGGCTTTTCTCACAAAAGAAAGCAAGAGCTAAAGAAGCACAAACAAAAATAACATAGCAAAACAAATTATAAAAGAAATCACTCATAAAAGAGGAATCCAGGAGAAATAAATCGGAAACCCTAGAAAGAAATTCAAAGTCAAGTCGAAAGGGATCAATGCAAAAGAAGAGGTGCAGCTCTAGAACGATGCGTACCTGATTCAAGACGCAGAGAAAATCCGTAGCTCGATATAATCGAAGATAAAGGGAACAGAGTTATAAGAGTAAGATAGCAAGATGCAGAGAAACGAAAAAGATAAGAACCAAAGAGGATGAAATGCGTGAGCTTCCTAAATAGGATTGCTTGCAGGTAGGCGCGAGAGACGCGTGGCTAACTATGGCATACTCGGGAATCCGGTCCGAGTTATAAAGATCTTATGCAACGGTGATTTACCAATTGAAATTTCTGAAGATCGATTATAGCCACTAGATTTGATCGATGGTATTAATATTCGTGCACATTTGAAACTAAACACTGATGAAGAAAGATTAGTGCTTGTTGGTCTTGCGCCATCCGAGTTCCGCGGGAGCGAGGGAATGGAATGTGCCAACTCAGCAAAGAACGATATCAATGAGCGTTTGATCGTAAGCAGAAAATATTAATTAAGGGTTCAATTTAAAAATAGTGTCACTTTTTTTTTGGGGGGGCTTTTGAGATAATAAAATGATAAATTCACATATATATTACATACATAAGCTTCAAATTCAATTAGGGCTACAAATAAATCGAGTGTTCGACGAGCTGTCGTGATTTGGCTAGAGAAGAATTGTTTATGTTCGTCTGATAAAGTAAACGAATGAGTTAGAACACTTTTAATAAATGCTCAATAGCTAAATAAACAAGTTTGAACACCTTGGAGTTCTTTTCGTTTATGTTCACAAACAATATCATTTAAAGCTCGTTAAGAAACTCGATTGGAGCTCAATTAGAGCTTGATTTGAGCTCGATTAGATTTCGATTAAATTTACTAATTTAATAATTTATTTTTAACTTTTATCTTTCAAAAATCCCGCTCCCACTCCCCGCTCGGCATAAAAAAAAAAACTCCCGCATGTTGTCGTGAGCTCCCGCGTGCTCCTTCGCACTCTTTAGTCCACTGTGAAAAAACAATTCTTTTTTTGCTATATAAAGTGAAAAAAAATGGAACCACATTCAAACGGAAGCAAGAAGCTAGGGTGTAAGATAATTTCATTTGTTAAGGTGAGGACTCTTGAAATTTGTGTGGATGATTAAATTGATTCCACTCTCTCAAAAGAAATTCCTCTTAAATAAGGCTTTGTATTATATTTCTTATACCATCTCGAGGGATATCAATAAGATAATGTTGATCTAAACCCTTTTACAACGGGTGGATGTGTTGAACCAATTGCATAGAAGAGACCTTGGTAAGTTTGTGGGGATGGTGGTGCTCCTTGATTGGCGTTGTCTCTAAACTTTTGTTCATATTGTGGAGGGAGAACTCCATCATATTGTAATGATACTCTATATTATCCAACCTCCTCTAATAAATGAAATATTATACTTTAAAGTTCTTACATCCTATGCATACGATATTCTAAAGTGAGGCCTAGGGGGATTTGATCTCCCACATTTTATTATTCTAGATTGAGAGATTGATTGTTGGCCATTGTAGAAGTATGTTGGAAATATTGTCCATAGATGACACCAAACTATTACGGGCTGAGAGATTCACGATGGTCGAGTAAAAATATTTTATGTCTTAGCAACACACTAAAACTCAGCACACAGATAGATAATGATAACAAACACCATATTTTTTATGTAAAAATCCCCGAAAAGGGGAAAATAATGGGGTCTTACCCAGTTAAAATAATTCTACTACTATTTGACATATTACAAAGGTCAACCCCCCTAACTCAAGGACAATGACAATATAATATATTTAAAAAAATTCAAATTTTAGAAGGGTACTCTTGATCGTGATTGAATGACAAATATTAAAGATATGGTGGCGACAATCAAGAGAATGTTTAACAATAGCATAGTGATTGTTAGAGATCCAGTGATAATCTCAGACGGTCAAAAAGTCTGGTAATGTTTGGAGATCCTAAGGTAGCAATGGGTAGGTGAAAGTCATGTGATGGTCATTAGTTATGAAGAGATCCGAGAGTGGCCAATAAACAGGCAAAAGTCTGGCGATGATCAGTGATTAGGAAGAGATATGACTGCTCGTGGTGTTGATTAGAGAATACAAGAGAGCTCCTTAGTTTTCTCTTATCTTCCTCCCCTTGGGGTGAAATGCCTAGTAAATATGAAGAAGATTTAGGGCAAGTTTGGAGTGTTCTATTTGACGACTGGTATCAATTCTCTCGATAATGAATAATTATTTGAACATTTATATGCAATAATAATGTCAGAATAAAGCGATCGTGGGATCGTTGGATTTGTCTCGTCGAGCTGCCCGATTCTACAATAAGCATGTCATATTCATATATCAACTAGTCATCCCAAATGATGTTCTTAAGCTTTCAAGTATAAGTGATGTGGGCTCAATTAGGCTAGGATCAGACTGCATTTGATGTTATTAGGTTTGTTTTTCTGAGATGTTGAATTTGGCTATAACTCAAATCAAAGTTTGGATGGTCCCAAATATAATTTGGGAAGCATCCGACTCATATTTGCATCGAGGTCGTGTTTGATTAAGACAATTTCTCAGCGACATCAGATCTAAAATTATACTTTTAAGACTAATTTTTTATCTATTATGTAAAGTCGAATGATTAATTTGGGATCAATTTTATATCATAATTACGACATGATGAAGTGTCGGATATTGGTCCTAGATTTAGGTTTGTAGCTTCTTGTGTAGCATTTGTGCTTATAAATAGGATATAGGTTGTAATAGACCGGTATGGTTAAGCAATAAATAATTAGTTTGCTACTCTCCTTTCTCCCTTCCCTCTCTCTTCCCCCTCTCCCAAGAAGCTCATGTAGGAAGGAATTCTTCATCATTCAAGATCCTTACATCTGGTATAAGAGCCTGATGGATACAAACCAAACTAGACGGAGGTGGACAGAGGTTTTCTTACCTAAAGAAAATGATCCAAGAATGAAGAGGATGTGCTAGTGAGGGTTTGGCGGAGAAAGATGGAGCTTGCAGGGTTGTTGGGGTGACTTGGTTTGATCGGAGAAGCTGGAGGAGGCTTCGGCGGCGGCCTGGTGCCGCGATCTGAAGTTCGCAACAGAGATCGCGTAGGCTGGGCACTAGGCGGAGGTAAGCTGCTGGCCCATGTGCAAGAAGCTAGGGGCAGTGGTTTCGTTCGCAGCTTTGTGTGAAGGAGCCAAAGACATACATATGAAGGGAGAAAGATTCGCTCATAGTCTACTCATGAAAGGCTGATCAGACGCAAATAAAGCAAGTCAGGAGATCATGTAGGGGCTATATGACTCTTCATGAGATCTTGGCAGCAAGAGAGAACCGGAGCGAGATTTCTTGCGATTCTTGTCGATCGAGTGAGAGAAGGGTGTGGGAGAGATACCTGCTTGTGATCCACTAGCTGGGGAAGAGTGATGTTCGTAGAAAAGGCCTCGGAGCATAACAATTTCATTGCTATGATAAGAAATCTTTATACAGGATCTTGTAATCAAGATTGTAGCATAAGATAGAAGTAGGTGATAAGATTTAGGTGTCAGAGGCTGCTTTCGATCGAGACAAGGGAGAGAAATTTGTTGGGAGTTCTTATCCGAGCATGTTTAAAAGATTTGATTAAATCTTTTTGAGGTGGAGTTTTTGTAACACCCCACAATATCCCTTAACAGTATTGTAGATGATAACAATAATAAACATAACCTTTCCATCACTAAACTTCTCATACATGTCATTCCATTTTCAAGTCTATATAAAATGCCATATAAATCTCATCTAATACAATAAATGAAGCATATAGTAATTCACAAGTTTCATCAAATACTTAATACAGAGCCACTAAGGAAATCTAAATAATTCAAAGTAATACAATATTGAAACGATTTACTAACATTAAGAGTATATTTCAAAATTTAAATAAAAATTGACATAAAACTTAAATACTTGCATATCAAACTTCCTCAACTTTTCTTTTCCCTTTTCCTGTAAAAACAGGCAGTAATAAATAACTGGTAAGCTATTAGGCTCAGTAAGTTATGCATGTGTAAATAATATTAAACATACATGTTAAATATTTAGAATATTAAAACATAAATAAAAATTTAAACTCCTTGAGAAACTACAACATCTCATTTGGCATTACCTTTAATTGTTCTCTTAGATCCATAATTAATATCAATTTTTTTCATTAAAAAGGTTTGGCTACCCTTCCACTCCTGACATTATCGTCATTGAATTTAATAGAGGTCCCTTTTGCCTCTTTAGAGTTCCCTTTTGCCGCACATGCTATGCAAGTATCATTTCTTTTGGGGTCATTTTTGCCCCACTTATAAGATAATTACATATTTGAGAACCATTTTATCCCAACTATCCTTGTAAATCATACATCATATACATATAGCCAAACTTTATGTTAAATTGATATTCATTATATTTTTATAACATAACTCATACTTGTATTGTTGCTTTCATAAAGATCTTTATATGCTACTTATTTGTGTAATGAAACTATGTATCATGTGTTAAGAATTGAGATTCTTTCTAAAATATTTTCAACTAGTAAAATCTTTAATGTAACATAACAATTCTTATTTGAAAATTTCATGATTCAAATATATAAGAGGACTTTCATATAAGGAAACTAGGTTAGGAACATACTTTAGCTAGAGAATTATTTGTAATGCATATTTCTCTTGCATTCATTTAACTACCAATATATAATGCAAAATTAACAAAAATTACATTTATAACTTTAATTTGCATTACTTACCTTCTTGACGGATTACTTCTTTCAAACTTTCACTTCTTATTCTTCTTCTATTATAAGTCACTTCAAAGCCTCCTCTTTACATAAGACTATATCCTCTATATCACCTTAAATTATGATTTGCATAAGAACTTTATTGAATTGAACTAGTATAAAAGATAATGAAAATTCAGGATTCTTATCTTTTTCCTTCTTCTATGATTTAGTCTTCGTCAATTCTAACTTCCTAGAATACCACTCAAAATCTTTATTTTCCTTTAATTCCACTGTCAAAACCAATATTTTAAGGAGATAAAAAATTTTCATTACAGTAATCTAACTTAGTAAATCTGTTGAAATCCAATTGCTCGCCCTGCCATGTACATCATTCACAAAACAAGCCCAAATGTTTCCTTAGAACTTTGCATTATGCCACAACACTCAGCTTTTAGGTCCTAT